CAATATTTTACCCCACAAACCTCCTAATTCCCTCACATATTTTACCATAAAGTTTTCACCCCAGATTATCTTATGCTGTAAGTATTCTAATTCTCTCCAACACTTTGCTGCCATGACTCACGTCCCAGACCATGTGAATATCATTACTGGGTCAGTTCACTTCCAAGCAACATTCCCAGACTCTGGATGGACCAGAAGTGGGACAACCCGAGTGTTATGTTCTGGTCATTTACAGTCCTAACATAAGAGGAGAAAAGTTTCTAATTATGAACTGAAGTAACATATCTGATTTAGGAGTAAGGGTTAGGTAGCAGCTTGGGAGGCTGAAGTCAGGGGATTGCTTGAGCTTAGGAGTTTGAAACCAGCCTGAGCAACATAGAAAAACCCTGTCTCTTTATAAAATTAAAAAAAATTAGCCAGGGACTGTGATGGGCACCAGTCGTCCCAGCTACTTGGGAGGCTGAGGCAGGAGGATCACTTGAGCCAAGGAGTTTGAGGATGCCGTGAGCTATAGCCTGGGAAACAGAGCAAGACTAGGTCTCAATAAAATTAATTTCAGGTATTAAGCTTAGTTCTGTGGACTAATAGTGTTCACACTGATTGTTTAAGATTGACACCAAAATTTGCATTAATCTTAGCAATATTATGAATGACTCTTACATAAAAACAAGAAAAAATTACCATGGTCTATAGGCTAGAAGGGTTTTTTTTTTTTTTGAGGCAGAATCTCATTATGTTGTCCTCGATAGAGTGCCATGGCGTTACAGCTCACAGCAACCTCAAACTCTTGGGCTTAAGTGATTCTCCTGACTCAGCCTTCCAAGTAGCTGGGACTATAGGCACCTGTCACAAAGCCTGGCTAGTTTTGTTGTTGTTGTTGTTGCAGTTGTCATTGTTGCTTTAGCTGGCCCGGTCTGGTTTTGAATCCACCAGCCTCGGTGTACGTGACTGGCGCCATAACCACTGTGCTATGGGCGCCGCCTAGAAGGCTTTTGCTATAGGCTGAATGTGTCTCCCCCAAATTCACAGTGAAGCCAAATCCCCACTGTGAGGGTTAGAAGAGGCCTTTGGTGGCT